CGGCTGATGAGGCAAGAGGCAACAGCGCGACCATGAATGGAAGCGACGATGAAATTGGGTCGGACGAGTTTCGAGATGACAGGGAAGAGACGGCGTTTGAGCCGGAGGAATATTCGTCGACACCCGGGGAGTCGTCAGCGTCAGAAGGCAGTCTGGTCTCGCGTTGGTTCAATGCATTGAGACCCCGGCACCTGATTCGACAGCCCTCGAGACTTGAGCTGGATCCGTCGGCGAAATCTTACGAAGGATAACGGTTCTCTTCTAGAAGGGGAGGTGTGGGAACGCGGGAGTTCCCCAAATAATAATCATTACTTTCAAGTCATTTGATGACGAATAAAAGGGCTAGGAATAAGCCCGGAACAATTCAGTTCCACCCTGCAACGACGAAGCTCTGTATCCGACTAGCGAAGTGAGAGTTATCACAATTTCACACCTAAATAGCTGCAGAGCAACTTCTAAAAATTAATTTAAAAATTAAAATTTGAACATTCTTCGGCCGATGCGTGACAAGAAGCGATTTTTTTGTATGGACCCCATGAGAACCGGTCTAGCTCCGGAAATATTGCTCGGATCACCTCGGAACTTAGTGCGTTAGATTCCTGAGACAATTTCACACCTAAATAGCTGCATAGCAACTTCTAAAAATTGATTTAAAAACTAAAAATTGAACATTTTTCGGCCGATGCATGACAAGAGGGGATTTTTCTCTATGGACCCCATGAGAACCGGTCTAGCTCCGGAAATATTGCTCGGATCACCTCGGAACTTAGCGCGTTGGATTCCTGAGACAATTTCACACCTAAATAGCTGCATAGCAACTTCTAAAAATTAATTTAAAAATTAAAAATTGAACATTCTTCGGCCGATGCGTGACAAGGGGGGATTTTTCTCTATGGACACCATGAGAACCGGTCTAGCTCCGGAAATATTGCTCGGATCACCTCGGAACTTAGTGCGTTGGATTCCTGAGACAATTTCACACCTAAATAGCTGCATAGCAAGGATCGTGTCTGACCTTCCACAATTTGCCAACGAGGGAATGGGCAGGGAAACAAACACTGACGAGTACTTCAAATACAACAATGGTGGCTGTAGACAAGGAACATTACAAGTATCGGGATCAATTACTAGAGTGGTGGTCGACAGGTGGGGCTGAACAGATATTCAGCCATTTAGAGTAGGCTACTGAGTCGTCATCACCAAAATAAATTAAATTAAATATCATCATAATTAAATGTCATACCGATCCCTGAGTTCTAAGAGAGAAGCCTGTTTTTTCTCATACGCGTTGTATGCTATCATTACTTTCCCCGCGGCGAAGCGCGGCCGGGCACGCTAGTCATGACTATGAATTTGCGTTATATCCCCAGGACTATGAGGTGGATCTCTACCTTCGACAAAGATGGTTCGACGGCAGACTAGCAAATGTCAACATATCAGCCCCGTTGGATTTGAACGACCCAAAGCTTGTTCAGAAAATTTGGAAACCCGAGGTCTTTTTTGCGAATGCAAAACATGCAGAGTTCCAGTTCGTGACAGTGCCGAACGTGCTCGTCCGGCTCTCGCCTCACGGAATGATACTGTACATGCTGAGGTAAGCTTCCCACACGCAGACGAACTCATGTTAGACAAGGATGGCAGAGAATGGATTCTATACATCAAATAGTCAGCGAACAATCAGTCCGGGGATGCGTCTACTACTCGACGAGCTTCGCAAATCAGAGGAAATGGGATTTTCCTTCCGATTTCAGGTTGAAGCTGACGTTCTCTTGTATGATGGATCTGTATCGCTATCCTCTTGATGTTCAGACGTGCACTATCGAGCTCGCTTCATGTAAGTTATGCAGAGGTCTCTGTTTCCGCTCCGCGCCGACCTTCACTCTGCTTGATTATTCCCTATCTATCCTTCATGACAAACGCCAAAGTCCCGCGCGATGGTCCGTGCGGGGCAGGACGCGTCTCTCTGTCATAAGTGAAGGCATCTTCCGTAGGATCGATGCCTTCCTGAGTGCTGGCATTACTGAGATGATGTCATCATTGAATGTAGGCCTCAGTGTTGAATCGGGAGCAGGACGGTACGAAACGAAGAGTTTCCCGTCGCCGAGGATTTCGAACGTTTTGCCCTCCGCTCGTGTTTTTTCCTCCGAAAAAATATTCTCAAGGAGATGTGTGAGTGGGAGATTCAAGCTTGACCAGAGGAAACCTGGTCCGATGAAAATTCAGCCTTCGCGTCGGAGGGAAGAGTTGAGAAGAAAATCTTGATGAGATGTCTGGAACGTCTTTGGAGATGAGTCTTCTCCTTCCGACGATTTTGAGTCGCCATTCCCCAATGCTCGAATGCCGCTCCTATCACACGGGTGTTTCTGATGTAAGGGAGCCGTCACGCACCGCGCGTCCAAAATCGAGGGGAGATATTCTCGCGCGAGATTCCCTCCTCTGCCCCGACTTCAAGCAGAGTCTGGCTCGGAATATCGGAGACTCATCTTCGAAAGAGAATCTGAAAGTGGAGAAAGATTGACAAGGCCCAAGAGCGTGATCATGGGGACGATGAGGCCCGCTAAGTCGTAGGACAATTTCTTTCAGTCTCAAAAACAACTGACGAGCTCGTGCTCCATTGGTCGGAACGTAACCCGGTGATACTTTTCGAGAACCTGAAGTTGCCGCAATTCGAAATTGAGAACGTCAGCACCTCACTCTGCAACGAGACATTCTACCTCGGTAAGAGAATTCCGGTGTCAGCCTTGCGCAGCCTAATTAGTGCCTGGGATCTTGAGATCAATCATGATCTTGTCCCGTTATTCATTCATTGCTCAATTGCAGGGGAGTATAGCTGCCTAAAAGCCGAGTTCCACCTACAACGTTCGATGGGTTACCATCTCGTTCAATCGTATCTTCCCACAGTGTTGATAGTTGTAATCTCGTGGGTATCGTTTTGGCTGGACGTCGAAGCCATTCCAGCCCGAATTACTCTGGGCGTCACCACTCTGCTGACCATATCCTCGAAGGTGAGTGAGCGGTTGACGCGGACGCCTTGCGCGGGGAACGGTTTCCGACTGCATTGGACGCTGTAGTCGTTTGCTCGATGATCGGGAATCTCATCAACCGCAATGGCATCGCCATTCAGGAATTTCGTGCGAAATCATCGGAAATTTCTTCCGTAATCACGTCTGGATCACACCCCGTGCTGTGGGAGATCGCAGCTCGTCGCCGCCCGATTCTCTGAGGCCATGAGGATTCAATCGACAGGGTTCTGTGTGCTCTGAAAAGCATTTCGGCTGATAACGATTGAGCATTGAACCGAGAGTGGTGAGTCGGAAGTCAGCGACGTTTGCGATGCATCTTTCTTGCACAGCTCTGCCCCATCGGGCCGACAATAACATTCCAATCTTTGTTGCGGCGAGCATGGCCCAGTGAATCAATGCCGAGAGACTGCCACGTCTTCTTTGTGGCAACATTGAAACCCCATTGATGTTCGCTACGACCAAACTCCGTTCACGTATGCGGTGGCTCATGGTGGCAACGGTCTCAGGATTTCAACTCACCGAATGTGAATAATTTGGAAACGGCGGAGTCGATCACGCCCATCAGCTTTAGGTTTTGCTCCTTGATTGCCTTCTCCCGAAGGTCGGAGTCGATTTTCCGGGGGTGGGGGCTCTTCGTGGGTGTGGATCTGGTGAACCCACTCATCCGCCGGAAGAACGGTGTAGTGTCGGATTTTCGCAGAATTGAGGATCTCCGAGCTTGATCTCATCTGCCAGGGAAGCTCTGGCTGTACTCTGAAGTCCAAACACGTCGCTCTCCCGCGGGTCGTCACGCGTTAGTTTTCGGGAACAATACGTCCCTTATGCGCCTCACGGTATCTGTCGCGCAACCTGGAGACACTCAGGCTCGGGGAAGGACGTCGATTAACGACCGACATCTCGTGCAAAGTGCTTACACGACCCTCGGAATCCGGTCCGTCGATATCATGCGCTCATCTAGAGCAGAGCTTCCCAGATTTTTTCCCACGGGAGGGCTCGCTTGCGGAATTTTAAGCGTTCGAGCTTGACAGATGTTTGTTCCCACCACAAGACCTTTGATTGCCTCAGGATATAGCACTGAGCATCCCCCGGGATCCGGGTCGCTTCACCGGGCGACAGAGCATCTCAGGACCCCTGATTACCTATTCTCTCCCCGGCTCAGGTCTCCTATCATAGAAAGAGGTGCAAACTCTACGACCCTGAAAGACAGGGTCCGGAGCTCTTCAAAAATCGATGGTTAGGACTGTAGTGGATGCCGACTGAGCCCGGTGTTTCTCCGAGTTCTACGGAGCCGATATCCGATCTTGCGATCGGTGACCGGTTGCCCCCGATTCGTGATTTGAACTCGCTAGTCGGTGAAGTCTTGTTCACAAACGAGTATTATTGGCTCTTCTAGGGTGTCGGTATTCAATCGAATCTCCCACCAGTGTCTTACGTCAAAGCCATCGATGTGTGGATGGGAGTGTGTACAATGTTCGTGTTCACCGCTCTTCTTGAATTCACATTTGTCAACTATCTGTGGAGAAGAATACCCAACTCGGAGATCGCGAGAATCTCTCGAACTCAAGAGATAAAAACCGTAAGTCTGATTCTGCTCACGTATCTATCGACACAGAATCGCTCAGCACACGCGGTCTGCTCCGCGCTGCACGGGGTGACGCCGCTAAATATGAAAGATCGGGAAATTCATGCGGCAGACGTGAGACTCCCAAGATGTTTCAGATAACATCCGACATCCAAGAAGAGATTCACACCAGCCGCTGTTCAGCGGGAATGATGGTGAGCTCACATAGGTATTCTGCTCGCCCGGGGGTGTTTGTACAGTTGCTACGGTTTCCAGAGAGGCTTTCTCGTGTAAATCACTCAATTATCGTCGTTTTCGAGTTTTTTTCGCGCTTCATGGTAGGAATTAAATTCTCTTCTTCGCGATGGGGCTATAGCTGTTTTTGACGAGCGAAGAGACACGGCTCTATCCGATTCGCGATGGCTGTTGTTTGGAATTCCGATTCCCGGTACCCGTCGGCGGAGCGAGACAGAGTACGATATCAATTCGGCTGTGTGCCGAGTCGTCGCGGAACGTGTGAATTACGAGATGATCGACGAGTTCCTGCGAATGCGTACGGCTTACTCAGCTGCGGTCTATTGATGGCAAACGCGAGTGACCTGATTCTAGCGCGAATCCAGATTTTGGATTCGCTGCTCTGACTTTTCCCGCAGCTTCAACAATCTCAAAGGCCTGTGAGCATCTCTCACTCCCGTTCCGGAACCCGTCAGAATATGGCTGAATTAGCTGAGGGAGGCGTTCTAGTTTTGCACCGAAGTCGGACTCAGCGGCTCCTTGAAGAACTCGCCAAATGGGTAGACTGAACATTCGACACAGTCTGGGGGGTTGCTAGAGTCGACCTTCCGAGTACCGTTCGGTGGGACGTTCTTTTCTCTGTATTCCCGTAGAGCTGGACCACCAGCCATGGGGAAGGTTCTCGAAATGATTGTACGATCTTTCAGGGAGGCCGAGAGCTGGACAATGTCAACCAACTACCGTTCAATGGCAGCAGACGAATTCCGAAATCGTGGGATCCGTATCCGACGTTACCGCTCCATCTGAACTGTAATCAAAGTTGCGCGAAGAGAATCGACCGGGTATCGAGAGTCGGCTTCCCGTGTGCATTCGCCATATTCTGTCTCATCTACTGGCCGTACTATCTGAATAAAAATCATTAATGTTCCGGTAGGCCGATCGGCGGTTTGGGCTAGTTGTTTCAAGGCAATACCGACTTCTAGTGATTCCATTGTTTGTTTTATGAATTGGGAATAAGACGATCTTATCCTACATTAGCCCATCTGTTGCTTGGAGCTGAGTGACCAAAGGTGTTGACTGTACATGAAATGAGTCTGGAGCTCCGATCTGACTATAATATCGAGGATGCAGTCTATGGAACTCCGGATGGACAGGCACTTATTCCCTCCATAGATGAGATCGCTCATAAATACCTAATCAACGCATCAGATTCTGGGCTCCATCATGGGAGGAGGTGAAACGTCGAGGAAATTCAAAATGAAGTTCGAGGAATCATAAACGATTCTCATCGTTTTCGATAGAGATTGCTTCCCATAGTACCGTATCGTTTTTATTTGTTGGTTTCGAATGGTCTCATCAGAATCTTATCGATTCATGGTTTAAAGGTTTGGACACTCTTGTAGAGAAAATGAGTACGCTGTTCGCCTCGATACGATGTGCGATTTCCGCTAGTGATCGCGCTCTGTAGTACACTGATCATGTATCATACAAGCAATTGAGGAGTCCCTATACGATGTCAAGCAAACGATCCAAGCGAATAAAAGCGAAACTTACGCGGAATTCAATAGAGAAAGACTTTTCCATGCAGGATGCCACGAAGGAACTCCGACAGAAGGCATCAGATTGCTTCCAAGATTTCGGTCGGACAGAGCGTGACGATTCACGATTCCCGCATGTTCTGCGAATCCGCAAATCACAGAATTTTCAGCACAAAATGCGTACATGCTGGAGAAATAATCTCATGTCCGGACAAACGGATGAACTCGTCCCGACCTCCGACGGCGCGAGAATAACAGCGATGGAGATGTTCTTCTCGTCTTCGCGTCAGGATCACGCCTACTTGCGCCTGAAGTCGAATCAATTTTTGATTGAGACAAAATGTCATGAATCCAGAAAAAATATTTGCCCTTCCACATAGCTCGACATGTGATCCAGACGAATCTAAGCGTTTCTCTCCTCCAAGCAGTTCTCAGCTCGAGCGAGCCTGAGAGACGGCAGCTGCGACGATCGAATCTCGGCTCTTTGCTGCGTATCGCAGAGAGCCTCATCGTTTGTAAGTTCAGCGGAATCCGCGCTCGCTCTCGCTTTATCCTATCTCCAGGATGTCTACGCGACCCAATTCGAGTCAAGATGGGGTGCGAGTGGAGTGTAAGGCCGTCATTTAATCGGATTATTTTAGACGTCGCGTACTTGTCGCTTGCAAAAATATATTACCACTCGACCTCGCTTACAATCGTGAGTTAAAGCGTGTTAATCAAGTCCCTCGGAGCTGAAAGATATAATCCAGGTTTATTGAAGCGCGTGGAAACTCATCCATTGGAGAAGTAGCTTTGTAGTTCGACCACCGAGCAAGGGTCGAGTGTCGTTCTCAACAGAAGGTCGTCCTGTGATCTATGCACATGCCTCGTGAGTTATGGTGTGCTCTCGGCGCTCTATTCGTCAGAGAAGGCTCCCAGTCACAAGTCGACGAAGAAGGTCAGGAAACTGCATGAAACTCACGCTCATTTACTTCTGAACGCTCTTCAAGAATGCGCATAGCTGAGACAAACGAAGGCATGTTCCTCAGTATGTTTCTCGATAATTTACCAAGATGTCAGCGGCGCGGCGGCCATTTATCAGAAAAATGTTCCTGTCTCAGCGAGCCATGGCAGAGGCGCTCCTGAATTTCCCAAACAAATCACGGGACGACAATCGTTGCCGAATCCCTGTTATGACACGGAAAAGTCCGGGCTCTTCCGCACCGTGATCACTTTTCACGCGAAGAAAGAGGGATTCAGAGATCCGTATCGGAAATAGAAATTCTTCTTTCCGAAATCAAATACGAGTCATACGGAGCTTTCAGGAAACGCACGGGAGCCGCATGTTTTCGCTGCAGTCGAGAGCGCCAGGAAACGCAGGATTTCCAACAAAAGTTCGTTTTGTCGACTCCAATTGAGGCGTCTCATGGAAAAAGTGCCTAAGTCTCTTGCAAACGAACGATCGAAAACGAAGCATTATGGACTAGAAAATGTATGTTGACGCTTTATTATTACAATGTTATTATATGATGATATTTAGGTAAATATATATATTATTATTATTATTGTCAGATCATATTATTCTGCCGTACGGGAATGGATGATTCGAGCATCATCTTCACCGAGATCTTCGCTCCCGTCTTCTTCGACTGACTTGATGGATAGGTAGAAAGGAGACTCCTTGATCTCCTCATCTACGTAGCTCAACAGAACATCGAGATCTCTTTTTTTCGCTAACTTTATCGGCAAGAATCGGGTCCCGATATCTGTCAGCTCGAAAGGAGCACAACGATCTGCAGTCGCCTTCAAAATAACCGTAGGTTGCCATTCACCCTTGACTGACGTCAGACACTCAGGCGTGCTGTCCCGATGGAAACGATTGAGGTAACCTTGGCGATCGGAGTCTTC